GTATGGCCACACCACAATCTCTTCTCCGCCAGTACCTGCTCAGGATTTTGGGCACACACACACACACACACACACACACACACACACACATGCCTGGCATGAGTATAAGCCGCCAGGTCCAGGACTCAAACTGCAGTTGACCACATGAGAGTTCAGTGACATAACCATTATGTCATCTGCTGGCCCCAGGTCATTGGCATTTAATCTAAGATTCAAAATTAATAGTATAGCTCTTGGGACCAGCAGGTGGCATAGTGGTTAAGGTACTGGACTCTCCCACAAGGCTGACCACAGTTCAAGTCCCAGACCTGGGGGTTTGAAACTCATGCCGTTTGCGTGTGTGTGCATGCCCCAAATCCCAAGGGAGTGGAGGAGACAGGACTGTGGAATGGCCATTCCCCTGGGGGCTAATTTCTCACTTTTCCTCTCACCATCTCTCTGTTTCTTCAGCGAGTACATGTGCCCTATGGCAAAAAAAAAAAAAAAAAAAAAAAAAGGAGTAATATAGCTCTTCATCTGATTATGGAGCAAATGTGAAAACTGTAATAATTTTTGTAGTTACCACTTCTGCTATTTTGTATAGCCACCAAAGGTATACAAAGCTTTGCGGGTTATTTTCAAAACAGGTCTGTTCTATTCCAGATGCAAAAGAGACAGAAAGTATGTATTTCCTTCTCTGGACATGCGATGTTTTTATTAGTCACAACTAAAAGGAAGTAAAATAGCATGCCTCTTCTACTTTGTCAACCTTAAGTAACAAAAGAAAAGTCCTAATGGCTACCAATACTCTCCAAAGATTTATTTATTCAAGTCAGAGTTTGCCAATATAGCATTACCTACTCCACAAGAGAAAATGATCTGTTGTGGAGGGACAGTAATGTCAAGTTAGATCATTATGTAAATTATTAGTTCAGGTGCCTACTATGTGCTGCAATAGAGATTTTTGCTTTTGCACCTAAAATATTTTTGAACAAAATTACAATTCTGATTGGTACAAATTGTTGCCCTAGTTAATGAAGAGACAGGAACTGTTTACTGATCAGTTCAAAGAATTGAAATTACAGCGTTTTTGGCAATATCAAAATCAATGTCTTACTCAGGCCGAGTATCTCTTATCCAAAGTGCTTGGAATCAGAAATGTTTTGGATTTTGAATATTTTTCATATTTTGGAACACTTACTTATACATACATAATATCTTAGGAATGTGTCACAAGTATAAAATTCATTTATAGCTCGTTTATATTTCATACACATCCTTTTTTCTAGAGAGGTTTTTGCCATAGAGTGTGTGTACTCACCAGAGAGACAGAGAGAGACAGTGAGACAGAAAGGAAGAAGTCACTCCCCAAGGGGTTGGCCACATCACAGTCCCTTCTCCTCTAGTCTCCTCTTGGGCCTTTGGACATTCATGCACATGTGCCCGGTGTGAGTTTTAAGTTGCCAAGTACGGGACTCAAACTGCAGTCAACTACATGGGAGTCTAGCCATGCAAGCATTACGCCATGCAAGTATTATGCCATTACGCATTGCTGGTCCCCGTATATGCCTTATACACCTAGCCAGAAGGTAATGTTTTATATATATATATATATATATATGTATATATATATATATATATATATATATATATATATATAATTACAGAAAAATTAAGTTAATGAATGCGAAAAGTCAAAATAGAACTTGGTTACATAGTATTCACAGTGCATGCTATCTACCTATCACCTGTATACTGTAACAGAAGAAAAGGGATGTCTACCATGTTTTATCTTAAGGCCCTTAACCCAATTACATAAAGGGGCTTCAGAAAAGTCTAAATTTATTTCAGTGTAAAAAATATTTTAAACCATGAATATTTTCATAATACACATGTTCTATGAACTTTTTAAAGATTCCTCATATTCCACTGTATGCTTATTCTCCCTTGCATACTTGCTTAAGACACATTAAAACACAAAGAAATCCTATAATAAATTGCTGCTTCAAGGATATTTAGAATATTTTATTCCTGGTGAAAAATTCTCTTGATTTTCAACTGCTACCATCATGAAGAAAAGGAAAAAAGTTCATGAGTAGAGTTCCTCCATAGCTATCCCTATTACAACACCCCTCTCTAATTCATTTCACCCTTGAACTTACAGCGATAGAAC